CAAAGTGTTGCCAAGTCTGTATCTGCAATTTGCAAATGTCAATGATTCGTAAAATACAATAAGAATTCAGTGTAACTAGGCTTTCTTCTAAAAATTAGTCGTTAAAATGCAAAACCGTCGATTCTTCGCAAGTGGTTCTGTTAATTCTCTATTCGGCTACAGTGACGGGAGAAAATTTTTGTGCCTAATTTAACCCTTACGTCGATAACCACAATGTCTACTTTATCACCCAATGTTTAGTAGCTTTCTGACAAGAAAATTCTAAACTTTCAGCAAACGTGGATAGGAAATGTGCGAAATAACATCGATCTTACCGGATATTCAAATCTTCTACCGAGAAGATCGAATAGTTTAACTGAGAAAATGTGCAAAAGGGCACCCAGGTATTGACATAAGGGTTGAATGATTTCAGAGGGTGAATAACATGGAAAAAATGGCAAAATATAAAGAGAAGCTTCACTCGACTTAATTTGATTTAAAATGACTAAAATCCAAGCTCGTTTTAAGGTCATACCTGTGAAAAATCATCCTAGATTGTTATTCTGAAAAAACCTAGACGACCTTGAAAATAAACAGAAAAAATGGTATCTGTAAAAAAATTTTTGTTCCGTGTTATTCACCCTTTGAAATCGTCTAAATTAGGTGTAGAAATTTTCTAGTATCACTGTAGTTCGTGTAGAGAAGACAATTAGGTGGTTCGGTTCACGTGGTCCACCCTGTATACTACTTACTATACCACATCGAGTGCATTTGAAAAGCGTATATGCATATGTGTATAGAGCTACATATAAATGGGAAAAGTAACTTCCTGGTCTGGGAGGATCATAAAAATTCATGAAACTTCAGATTCCAAGCGATGAAAGAAGGAAAACAGGTACTTAGGGACCAGTTTTAGAACGTTGGCGAGATTTTATGGGTCCTCGAGTTACACACCGATCGTCGTAAATCATCGTTTGAAAACAGCTGCCACAACACTTGAACGTATTTTCCCTCGATAGGCGGCTATTCCAGTTGATCGGTAGACAATAGACCCGAACGGCTCTCAACCAACCTGGACGAGATTTTCGGCGTGTTCCTTTGTGCGGTTTCGAGCAGTGTCGTTACGTAATTCGGATGTAATTTACGACACAGACAATTCTCGATGTGAACTGCTGGCAAGTTACACCGAGCTAGAACACTGCAATCCCCACGTAAACCAACCGCTATTAATAGGAACCAGCCGCACCTATTTATCTTGCATAGGAGAGTCAAGTGCAGCTGGCCAACCAGCTACTATGTACCAACGACAACCAACCTCTCGATTAACAATTCAATCGTACGATTCTATTATTCGTTACTTCGCTACTTTATTTTCCAATTTTTTTCTCTTCTTTATTGGGACGTCTTTAACGTCTTTTATTACCCGCGTAGTATAGTCGGTGGAAGAAATATGGGGAGGTCTTAAGTTCGCGAATGCGTCAAAGTTTACACTCTCAAGCATATCGACGGAAATCTTAGAAGATAAGAGCTCGAAATCTCAGTGAGAGCTGTGTGAAGTGTGCCTCAGCTTTCATTAAGTCTCAATTGAAAAGGAAATATAAAATATTAGGAATGTTTATGTCTGAATTTGAGATGTATAGTCGGCGAAAGAAATATAGCGAGGTCGTAACTTTCATTGAGTCTGAAATTAAAAAGGAAATACAAAATATTGGGAATGTTTATGTCTGAATTTGAGATGTATAGTCGGTGAAAGAAATATGGCGAGGTCTTAAGTTCGCGAATGCGTCAAAGTTTACACTTCCAAGCATATCGACGGAAATCTTAGAAGATAAGAGCTCGAAATCTCAGTGAGAGCTGTGTGAAGTGTGCCTCAGCTTTCATTAAGTCTCAATTGAAAAGGAAATACAAAAGATTGGGAATGTTTACGTGCGAATTTCAAAGGTATAGTCGGTGGAAGAAATATAGCGAGGTCGTAACTTTCATTGAGTCTCAAATTAAAAAGGAAATACAAAAGATTGGGAATGTTTATGTCTGAATTTGAGATGTATAGTCGATGAAAGAAATATGGCGAGGTCTTAAGTTCGCGAATGCGTCAAAGTTTACACCTCCAAGCATATCGACGGAAATCTTAGAAGATAAGAGCTCGAAATCTCAGTGAGGGCTGCGTGAAGTGTGTCTTAACTTCTATCGAGTCTCAAATTAAAAAGGAAATACAAAAGATTGGGAATGTTTATGTCTGAATTTGAGATGTATAGTCGGCGAAAGAAATATGGCGAGGTCTTAAGTTCGCTTATGCGTCAAAATTGACACGTTCAAGCACATCGACAGAAACGTAAAAAGATAAGAGCTCGAAATCTCAGTCACAACCGCATAAAATATACTTTATCTTTGATTCAGTCCTGATCGAAAACCAAAGCATACAATTACCGCTTTAATTTACGATCTCCCTATATTTCTTCCATCGACTATACACCCTGCGTACACCGTCTAAAATTGAATCGTGCGAACAAAATTTCGAAGAGTATACAATACCAACTATGTTAGTTACTCGAATTTTACAAGTCTACGATCATAAAGCAGGAAACGATGAAAGTGATAAACGCAAAGCGTTCGGCTCGTAACTGACGCACGTGTGGCCTATCGTGCGGCCGAATAAAAATACGGCATTTGCTTTTATACTCATACACGTGTTCCGGGTGATAAGATAAAAGGTGACACATTTTTCGAGAGCATGAAACGATCTATTTCATACGGAATGTATATATATATATATGTATATATACATGTATCTGTTATGAAATCTGTTCGTATATCACGCCGAGATTCGAGCTACTGTGCAAACGTTCGAGAACACGGCCGCTCATTGACCGTGATACAACATCCGAACAAAAATTCTCGAAATTATCAGATAACCTCAATAAAGAAACAAAAGGTGTCTACTAAATTCCTTCCAATACACATTTCTTCACAACGTCAAAATTTATGAACCACGTTGTTTTAACTTGTTAACTAAAGAAGACGAGTTTTATTCACAAATAGCTAAAACACAGTAGTTTATTAGCAAAAACCAAAATTAAATTATTATTAGGTGTAGAGTTGAATTTTTTCAGACT